CGGCAGCAGCTCCCGCTTCCCCTGGCCAAGCAGCCCCTGGCTGGGACAGGTACCATGGGGCTTGGTGGTCTCAGGGGACTGAGGAGAGCACGGAGAGCTCATTTACTCAAGAAAGCTCAACACGGAGTTAACCAAAGAGGATGAGAAGCTGTATCAATTGGTTCTGTAGAAATATCAATGAGGGAAAAGTAAGTATGTAAGGTTGTGAACTGGCTGTGAACAAAATCAAGCTTGATATTAGAAGTTCACTCTGAGTGAACTTCTGGAACAATGTCCCAGCAGAGATTGTGCAGGAAAAACCTCCCACAATGCAGTTTTAATGCACAGGTTAATTATTTCCTGAGGGGTCCTTGATGTGAGCTGCAACATCAGCCCTGGGTTGGCAGGGATAGGCCTTGGTGAGGCACATGGTCTGCTTCAGCCCTGCTCATCTGCCTCAGTACTCACTGAAGCTGGTTTTAAAAACTGCAGTTGATGTAAAGTGAAGTTTTATTTGGGGATTTACTCATGAATGCTCAGATCAATTAATCTTTGTTACAAGAACTGCGTACTCAAACAATAGCTGGGAATTTATGACATGAAAACACAGAATGATCTCTATGTTTCTATCTCAGATCAAAAAAAACCCTCAACACTTTTCATAGAATCATAGAACTGAATCAAAGAACCGTTTGGGTTGGAAGGGACCTTAAGGATCATCTATTTCCAACCACCCTGCCATGGACAGGGACACCTTCCACTAGATCAGTTTGCTCAAAGTCTCATCCAACCTGGCCTTGAACACTTCCAGGGATGGGGCATCCACAACTTCTCTGGGCAACCTGTTCCAGTGTCTCACCACCCTCAGAGGGAAGAATTTCTTCTTTGTATCTGATCTAAATCTCGCCTCTTTCAGTTTAAAGCCATTGCCCCTTGTCCTATCACTACACGCCCTTGTAAAAAGTCCCTCTCCAGCTTTCCTGTAGACTCCCTTTAAGTACTGGAAGGCTGCAATAAGATCACCCCGGGGCCTTCTCTTCTCCAGGCTGAACAAGCCCAACTCACTCAGCCTGTCTTCATAGCAGAGGTGCTGCTGGACAGCGCTGGACCCAGTACAGACCTCTGAGGAACACTACTTGCCGCTGGTCTCCACCTGAACGTTGAGCCATTGACCTCAACTCTCTGAGTGCGACCATCCAGCCAATTCCTTATCCACCGAGTGGTCCATCTGTCAAATCCATGTTTCTCCAGTTTAGAGACAGGATGTCATGTGGGACAGTGTCAAATGCTTTGCAAAAGTTCAGGTAGATGATGTCAGTTCCTCTTCCCTTATCCACCAACACTGTAACACCATCAAAGAAGGCCACCAAATTTGTCAGGCACCATTTGCCCTTAGCAAAGCCATGTTGGCTGTCACCAATCACCTCCTTATTTTCTGTGTGCCTTAGCACAGTTTCCAGAAGGATCTGCTCCATGATTTTGCCAGGCACTGAGGTGGGACCGACTGGGTCTTCCTTTTTTCCTTTTAAAAATAGGCTCTATGTTTCCTTTTCCAGTCAGTGGGAACTTCATCAGACTGCCATGACTTCTCAAATGTGATGGATAGTGGCTTAGCAACTTATCTACCAGTTCCCTCAGGACCTGCGGATGCACCTCATCAGGTCCCATGGACTTGTCCACCTTCAGGTTCTTTAGATGGTCTCGAACCTGATCTTCTCCTACAGTGGGCGGTTCTTCATTCTTCCAGTCCCTGCCTTTGCCTTCTGTGACTTGTGCTGTGCAGCTGGAGCTCATTCCAGTGAAGACTGAGGCAAAAAAGTCACTGAGTACCTCAGCCGTCTCCATATCCTGGGTAACCAGCTCTCCTGTTTCCTTCCAAAAAGAGCTCACATTTTCCCTAGCACTCCTTTTACCACTGACATATCTATAGAGGCTTTTCTTGTTGCCCTTGATGTCCCTGGCCAGATTGAATTCTATCAGAGCTTTAGCTTTTCTGACCAGTTGGTTTCGTCCCCTCAGTCATTACTCTGACTGTAGAAATGGTTTCCTGCTCTTTTAAGGAGCCTGCCTGTGCTGGGAGCCAAACAACTCCCTGTGGCACCATTGCCATGGCAGATCCCAGGCCCTGCATCCCAGCATTTGGCTCCTTCCTCTCATCCTGGGCCAGGCAGGAGGACTGCCCCAGCTGCGAGGTGCACCGCACAGCAGCCCAGGGAGGTGCTCTGGTCCGCCTCGTGCTTACGCCTCCTTTCACAGACTCTGTGTGTCTGTTTGTGACCGGGCTCCTGAAGTCAGGAAGAGTTTCCTGTACTTCCTGTACTTCATGGCTGAGCCATACAAACCTAACAGTCAAAAAGAAACATGCCATATCTGTTCAGATACATCCCTACAAGGGAAATCCCACGCTTGGTTGCTTGGTTTCTCAAAAATCTGATGGGAATTGACCAGTGCAGCTAAGCCTTGGCAAGTGTTTTGTGGGGACGGTGAGTCAAAGAGCCACACCATAGAATTGATCCCTGTAGTCATCAATCAGCTTGTGCTTTGATGTGATCCAAAGAAATATTTGTCCTTTTCATCTCTCCCTGGTTTATGTTACTGAATAATGTGGGGTGGGAGGAATACCCAAATCTTGGAGCAGCTCTCAGCAGAGCTGGCAAACCCGTTCCACTTTCAGCCAGAGCACTAAGAAGCCCTTTTGCACCACCAAGCAGTTTTTTTTCAGTTTTTTTCATGTGTTGACATTGAGGCCAGGCTTTGCCCTTAGAGGCTTTGTTTTCTCACGAGCAGCTGGACTTTAAACTTCGAGGTCGCTCATGCAGCCATTTCCCCCAAGGGCTGCAGGAATGCAGGCGGGCGGCCGTTAGGCTCAGAGGGTGGCAATGGCAGGGTGCTTTTGGACAATATTGTTTCTTCTCTCTGCCCTTTTCCTTCAGACAGAGCAGACAGGTATGGCCTTTGTTTTGTTGCGGCTCTAATTCTGATCTGTGCTACTGCTCCTCTAAACACACCAGTAATTTTGTACCTTGTACCGTGTTTACTGTGTAGCACAGGGTGATACCACTGAAAACGGTCTGATCCTTATTTTCCTTACATTTCTCCTGATTTGTTCTTTTTTTTTTTTTGTATAGCTAAGTGACAACTGCAGTAGGTTACTAAGGCAATGTAATTTAGCATTACCATCATTTACACCACAACAATATTTTGTCTTTTTTTATCATTTTTAAAGAGTGCCCCGGTTATTAAAGGTAATTTTATCTTGTATTTCTAGTTGCTGCTGAAATAAAAATGTCTTATGAAAGAAGCTGAGATGCATGCTTATTATAGGTTGAATAAATTTATTTTTCTGTATTAATCCTCCATGGTTTGTCAATATTAACGAGGAGCTGGAGAAGGAAGAAAAAGATGGTGACCACTTAAGAAGGTCAAAACATCCCTGGCAGCAGCAGAAGTGCACTGCCAGTTATGCTGGACACGTTGGAAGCACTGCACAGCAGAAATGTTCTACGGGGTGTCAGATGGCACTTTAAAATGCAAAACACAACCATGAAGCTTTTTTTTTTTTCTTTCTTTAATATCACCTGCAAGTTTATTGCTTATGGGATATCCTTCAAAAGCATGAATAAGCATTTGTATGCAGTTGCAGAATAATTTTGTAATTGCTGTCACTTTTTCCAATTCTAATATTATTGATTATTTCAACTTTTGTGCCTAGCAGTGCTGAGCCCCCAAACACTCTATAAAATGCAAAAAAATCTTCCAGTCCCTGCCCCAACAGGTTTATTTTCCAAGCACAGGAGAACTGACAAACACACACTGACACACACAGCCCCGTTACTGCTGAATGTCAAAGGCAACAGGCTCCAGCACAGCACCAGCCATCCAGCTGGCAGGAAATTTTTGTTGTGGGCATCATTGCAAAGAGGAGTTTTAAGATCTGATAGCTCTCATGTCTTTGACCTCTCCTCTTCTTTATTCAAATCCAAAAAGATTACTGTGTCTTCCACACAAAGGATGTTGTATGATACAGCCCTCGTAACTTTGAGCATTGCTGAGGGGGAGCTTCTATTTGTTCTCCATAAGAGAGACTTGATTGAGAACTCAGCCATGTCACGGTTTGGCTTCTCAGCAAAAAATCCCTGTGAAGTCATACTAAAGGGCATCAGTTTGCTTCCAATATCATATATAATATATGATATTGGAATATATATAAATAACAAATAATTTTCACTTCTACTGATGAGTCTGAAAGGCCCATGCAATCTTACAAAATAGCATCTGCCTATACAATAACACATTTCCCCTTTCCCTGGCTGTGCCACATCAACGCTGCTCTGTGTGTCTGATGCAGGAAAAATGTTGTGTCCGGAAGGACTTCAAATTCTCTCTGCTTGGGAACAAGCCAGGCTCTCCCCAGAAGAAAAACGTGCAACAGCCTCATGACTCCTCAGCTGAGTTTGGGCTAAGAAAGTAGGGCTCTTTCAGTATGTGAGTTTAATGTGGTTGAAACACTGAATCAGGCAAAAGACATCTTTTCGTGATTAAAATTGGCTGCTTAATAAGATCTTGAAAAAAAATGGTGAAAATATATAAGAAAAAGAATCTCAGTACTTACGTTAGCGTTTCGTCATACAACATTCCAGTGTTTATCTCAGCTGAAGATGCAAACAACGTTATCAAGAGACAGAGGCGTGCCAGCACCCTACTTTTGGAGGAGGTCCTCCAAGGCAGCTTGGAAAGGGAATGCCTTGAAGAGAGATGTACGCACGAAGAAGCAAGAGAAGTATTTGAAAATGATGAAATGCTCGTAAGTATTTTGTTTATCTATGTGCATATTAAAAATTACTGCCCTGGTCCTTTGCTGTCAAATTCAGCCCCGCAGTCCGTGTTGTTTGAGTTTCTCTCCACATGAAATCTTTGCACTTTGCACCTTAGCAAGTGGAAAGCAGGTGTCTTCAGTGGTCAGAATGGAAATGTAGAGGTCAACTCTACACTTTTAAAGTCCCCTCCTGAAGATGCTATGTCCTGCACCTTATGTTGCAAAAGTATATGGCCGTTGTCTCATCCTGACCACACGGAGAAATACAGCTTCAGCATCCTTTAGGGACCAGGAGGGGCAGTCGGGTTGGAGGGAAGCAATGCACCAGCAAGTAGTGGGACCTATAGAAAGAGGCTGGGTCCATCAGTGGCTGCAAGTCCCCTCGGACAAGAGGTCCTCCTGTTGCCTACAGCCGGATGCTGTGCTCTTTAACAGGAATCTGGCCGGAGATTGTATTTGCAGGGAAAGCAGAGGAAACAGCCATCGGGCTGTCCACAGTCAGTCCTGCTTCTGTGGGGAAAGTTGACTGAGGGGAGGTACAAGGAGTGGGGAGAGGTGTCCCCTCAGGGAAAGCAGTGGCAGAGCTGGCTGCTGTACCCAGGCATAAGTGGGCATCATGGTGCTGGTGACCAGTGCTAGTGACCTGCAGCTCCACTCTCTGCTGTACTCTCTGCCTCCAGCAACTCCTGACAGGGACCAAGCGGGACGGGACAGGACGGGATAGGACGGGATCACTTCCCAGGCTGCTGCACACCAGAGAGACAATGGCCAGCCAGTTATTGCAGGAAGTCATATTGTGAAAAGATTCAGCTGTTCCTTGCTTGCAGAGTGTTTCTTTTCCTTTATAGTTTCTAAGAAACAATAAAACAAGCAGGAAGGAAACCCCCTCCCACCTCATTCAAATTTTGCTGGCAGGGCATAATTTGTAGTTGTGCAACTGTGTAAACATTAAAGCATGATATATATTGTCTCATGTAATGTTTTTGGTTTACCAAAATATTTATGGAAGATTATGTTATTTGAGAATTAAAATCTGATTTCCTTTTTTTTTTTTTTTCCCCAGAAAATGTTTTGGGATGCCTACTACGGTGAGCTGGCCTCTTGATTTCTCTCCTTCATAGCAGTGTCACACTATGAACATTATGATTCAGTCCAATGCTGGTTCTCTGCGACTTTTTAGCAGTTTATCCTACAAGAAACACCCTGTTGCTATTTGTCATATTCCTAGTAAAGCAGGAGGAAAAGTGTTGATGTCAAAGATTTTAAAAAGTAATAAATAGGAAAAAACATTTAAGACAGCAAAGTGAATAAAAGTTGAAGGTCAGCAGATGTTATCATAGTAAATAGGCTATTTCTTTTCCTGAACTTAAGGCTGTTCTGAAACAAGCTGGGACCCGAGAAAGTCTGCTTTGCTCATACAATAGAGCCGCACAGCTTTACCAGCAAAACTTCCCAAATGCAAACCTAGCACTTAAACCCTTGTGAGATAAATAGATGTTAAAAGCTACTGGGCTGTCTGCAAACTCTGGAGGCTGGCACTGCGTCATCCCTTGGCAGCCTTCAAGGCAAGAAATGAATCTGCAAAAGCTGAGGGGCTGATGTAACTAGATGCCTCTTGAACAAGGAGCCTGGGGCAGCAGCTTACGGTGACTATGCCCTATTCCCTCTCTCTTTTCTGCATGCCTCATCCTAAGCTTTTCTCCTGTTTTTGACTTACCTTTATTAATTTCTAATCTTAGGTTTAGACAGTGGTTAAGGACGTGACAAAACCAGCAATTACTAATTTTCTGCAGAAGCCACTCAAACACTGAGGCCAGGGAACTGTGACACAGAAGGATCCCATCAGTGATACAGATGTTGTGAAGAATGATGCTAAATATCTGGCTTTTTGTTACTTCTGTGAGGGTGGGATTAGCTTCTCCTAATTTCCGTCATTGGAAGTTTGTACTAAGCATGTTACGCAGTCTTCCTCTCTAGTCTATGAAGAGAGAGGGGCAACCAGTTGAGAATGGTCCATCCAAACAAGCTTAGCCAAATCAGGACGCATTACTGACTTTGGCCTCAGGAGTGGCTTCCTTGCAGTAATTAAAAGCGACTATGTTCTGTCTTCTTCCTACAGAACAGCAGTGTGCACTTCCTTCTCTGTGATATTTTTTCTAAAATTTTGAAGTGTTTGCCCATAGCCTCGGCAGACGGTAGTTGGTGGGTTTTTTCCCCCAGGACCAGGCAGAGTTTTCACCTTTCCATCCCTGATATCAATTATGGCTACCTACTGACTGATTTTTAAGTTTTAGAAAGGTTGGAGAGCATGTCCCAGGATAGGCTTTTCTGGCTTGATCCCTGATCGCTCATGTCCTCAAGAAGCAGTGGTTATTTGGAAAATGTTTCCAAACTGTTTTGGAGTCTTTCCAGTGGGTAGCTTGAACTTGAAGGGAATGGGCAGCTCTGCCTGGAGCTTCACCTGTAGTGAGGATATCCTCTGGTTTTGATGTTGGGCTCATCAGAAAGACTGAGCTTGCTAGTGTCTGAGCTGCTGCACAGTAATTATACAGATGTGTGAAAGCCAGATTTCCCCCTGGTTTGATATTGCTCACTGTGTAATTTTGATGCCAGCTTTTTTTATTGAGTGCATATCAACATAACATGGGAGACCTAAAACTCCCATCTCATATTACATTGTTGTAACGAATCCATGAACTCTAAGTTGGTGTTTTTCCCAGAGGCAAAGCATCCATCCTCCAGAAGCAGGCTCTGTCTCTGGGCATCTCCCAGCCTCCCTGCCAGAGGCTGCAGAAGCGCCTCTGCAAGCAGAGACTTGGGCTAAAATTAATCCTGAGGAGCTAAAATTACTCCTGAGGAGCAGTTTGGTGGGACATAGCCCTTTTCCTTCCAAATGGCTTTTCGCAATGCTTCTCTGAGCAGCTTGCATGCTGGGAAAGGGGCTGCGTGGTTCGAGTCAGTGGTGGTGGTGACTTGTCCCTCTCTCGCGGCGTTTCTGCGGGGGGCGGGAGGTGCTCATCGAGCCCCTGCCAGCACAACGGCGTGTGCGAGGACAGCATTCGTGGCTACACCTGCACCTGTGCCGAGGGCTACGAGGGAGAGAACTGTGCTTTCGGTAAGGCATCGCCCCCTTCCGAGAAGCCCTGTCTCCTCCTGTCGTAGAGGGTCTCTGGGAAAACATACGCCGCTCTCCCATTACAGCCAGTTATCAGTTTTTAGGTTAAATCACACAGTTCTGGGCAGAGCAGGGGTGATGCGTGCTGCCCGTCTACCGAAATGTTATGGCATCCCAAGGTTACACCAGCTGCGCCTTCATGCTGAGCCTCCCTTCTCTGGGGATGCAGCGAAAGGGCTGGAGCAAGTCCCACTCACAGGTGGGCTCCAAAGGCAGCCCTGCCCGCTGCCACTCACACTCCCCAGCTGCTTGTCCTGCTGCAGGGCCTGAAGAACCAAGGCTGTGGTGCCCACAAGCCAGTCCCTCAGGACAGAGGGACTCCAAAAAACACACCGTTTTCAATGGAAGTATAAAAGCGTAAAGCAAAACAGACGCTTTCTGGCACGTAAAACACCCTGGGCCGGATCCTACGTTTTTACATCTGCCAGGTTCTACTTTCTGGCCCTTATATGAGTATTTCTGCTGGCTCAGAGGTCCCCTGGGGTGGGAGGTGCGGTCATTTTCTGTATAAGGGGTGTGACGGTACAGGGACAGACCAGTTTCTTGGGGTGGCCAGAAGGTGACACAGCCTGGAGCCAGATCAGTTCAGCATGAGCCCTAGAGAGCCACTGCATGTTGGGTTCTTTTGCTACTTCTCCATCTGTGAGCTAGATCCACCATCAAACGGCTGTTTCTCCTGTCGCTTTGTGCTGAAGTTTAAGTGTTTGCTCAGCTATGGAAAATTGACTGAGCATGTTTCAAAGGTGATTAACTCTCCCTTTCTTTTTTTCTTATCTTTGGCAGTTGTTAACTTTAATTTTCTTAGCACCAGCATAAGAAGTAAGAGCTATGCATATGTTCTTGCTGAAAAGCAGAAAGCATTAGCCTTTATTTTGAAGCAATACCTGCCTTCCTAACATGTGCAACAATTCCCCCCAGTGCAGATACTTAGTCTTTCATTTAAGGGAGCAGAAAGAAAACCCATGACCTCCTTCCATCGGTTCACATGGACGGCCTGTTTTGACCCTTGGCTACTAACGCTCCCCAAAACTCCGAGATGCAGACAATCCGGTGCAGGGAGGCACTGGGTGAGCACAGTTTGCAACGAGTCTATGGAAGCTGCAGAGACGCAGCTGTCTCCGATTTCTGCTTAACAAGGGGAAAAACAATGAGGTTACTATACCAGAGTCCCTGCCCACATCCACATCAAGTGTGTAAACATAAAACGCTTGGTAAAGAGGACTCAAGCTATGCAAGAAAACTCCAGCTGAACTGTTGCCAATGCTTTTTGTTCATTTGTTCTGTTTAGCTAAAAATGAATGTCATCACCAAGCAAAGGAAGGATGTCACCACTTCTGCTACCCGGGAAGTCATTCCTACCGTTGCTCCTGCGCTGATGGCTATGAGCTTGGGAAGGATAAAAAACAGTGTATCGCATTAGGTAGGTGTGAGCACGGAAGTACAGAGGGAACATGCTTGCTATTGGAGTGGGCAGGTCACCATCTGATATCCAGATGTGATCAGCCTGTTTGGAGACTCAAGCGATGAGAATAGCACTGACCTTCCAAACTGGGCAGAAAACGGAGGAGCCTAGGGACCACCACCCAAGATGCCAGCGCAGTGGTAAAAGAAGTGATATTTGATCTGAACATTTTAACGTGGGTCTACAGAGAGGACTTGCATCATCCTACATATCACTCACTGGGCCAGGTTTTCCACTCCTATGCTTGGTAAAGAGTAACTCCACTGAAGAGCTGTTTGGGAATGAGGTTCAATTGATTCTGATCAGGCACCTGATGGTCTGATAAATGAAGGGCAAGATTTGCTGCCATGTTAATTAGATTGAAGCAGTAGCCCTCTTCATTTTTTTAATCTCATATTAGGTGTCTCATTCAATCTCATTCCCTTATAAACTAGGTCTACTAAAACCACAGTCTACACTAGCAAGCAGAGCAGCCAAATAGGACTTGAGCTGTAGTCCCACACTTTTGGTGATGAAGGGTTGATGTCCACACTCAGTGCACATTTCAGGTGGGCTTTACTTCAGACTAGCTCTAGTTGTGTTCTGTGGACTAAGCACCCATTAGCTATGAGAGTACATTATGTGTGCTCCTGGAGGGTGTCTTCTGGTTTAGCTTTGCCTGAACAGAATCCAGTTTGTGTGACCCAAGACCATGCCACAAGGTGAAGAGAAAGTGTGATAAATGCAGATAACCGGGGGATCCACTTGAAAAGCGCACTTGCTGTCTGAACCAGAACAGAAAGGCATGTGCATCCCTACAGTAACAGCTTTAACAAGGAAAATCCAGATCCAAAACCTTGTCCAGATGGGCCACAGCTATTAGGTATCTGGCACAATTCCGATACCGGCTACAGCGATGAGGAAGCAAGCTGTGGTGATGGTTGGCTGGAGAGGAAGCCTTATTTCGTTAGTTACAGACACAATGAAATGCAGCCACCGTAAGCCTAACGCAATGACCCAAAGCGCTCGGTGCCATTGCTAAGCTATTAGACTTCAATACCACGCAAATTATTCCAATTTTCACCAGTTGAGAAATTGTCCTTCTCCTTTTCATGAGTGCAAAAATGAAACCCCAAAGTCAAGGTGGAATCAATAAGATGGTTGCTGTCTTGAAATGATGCAGCACAAGATTTTGATTTTTTTTTTTTTAATTCATTCACTAGATCAATGTGCATGTGGCAGACTTCAAGACAGTGATAATCTGATAAGCGAAACCAGGAAGAAACGTGATGAACGATTTCCTTGGCAGGTATTTCCACTAATTCATGAAACCTACGATTCAACCTCACCTGGACAGTGCTGTCTATCATCTTTTTGCATTCTCTTAGGTGCTGCTGCTAAACCCGGAAGGGAAGGGCTTCTGTGGAGGAGTGCTGCTAAAAAGTAGCTTTGTACTGACTACAGCAGAGTGTGCCCTTCTGCATAGCCATTTTGAAATCAGGGTTGTCGCTGGTAGGTGATCAAACACATTTTCTCTTGTAGCAGGTTTTTAAGTATTGGCAAGCTAATTTTAAAAACAGCTAACATTTTTGCTTCATAAAAATATCGTTATAGGAAAAAAATGTGCTGTCATCTCATTTGAGCATCTCAGTTAAGGATCTTGAGCTCGAACTACAACTGCCCCATAGCCCCTGCAAGGCAAGCAGAGACAACTGCCTCTTGAAGGCAATTCAGAACTCGCACCTAGGGATAAGCTAAACCAGGCAGATTTAGAGGTGATTTCCCCCTCCCCCAAGGAAAAAATTGTTTCATGCCAAAATTCACATCTGTTGTTGAGTATCTGTCCTTCCCCTCCGCAATTATGCACGCTTCTACACCGCATTAAAAAGCTGTCAAGATACTGTTTCTAGTTTACCTTTACTGCAGCGGTTTCAAGAAAGCGTTTAGTTTTCTCTACTGCACGTATTTCTCAGCATGCGTGGGCAGCTGCCAGTTTGCATGCAGTTTTCAAGCCTCTGATAAATTATTCCTAAGAGCGGTGAAATGTCATTGCTTCACAGGGCGCAATGGAACAAGTGGAACCGAGAAGATAATGCAAGTTAGGGAGAAACACGTACACATCCGGTATGATGAAGACACTGGCGAGAACAACGTTGCATTACTACAACTCCAAGAGCATGTTGAGTGCAACAACCACCAGCTTCCTGTATGCATCCCTGAAAGAGATTTTGCAGAACACGTTTTAATTCCAAAACTGGCTGGTACAGTCAGTGGCTGGAGAATGGAAGGTGATGATCTTCAAGGTGAAGAGTTGCAGGTTTCATACCTTCCTGCCGAGGACTGCAAACAAATACTCAATGTAAGCCTCACAAACAGGCAGTTTTGTGGACATCTCCAGGAAGCCGTAGACAAACGACTGGCTGGAGGAAGCTTTTTAGCTACCGAGTATAAGGGAACTTGGTTTCTGACTGGTATCCTGGGATCTTGGCCACTAGAAGACATGGACTGGGAAACACTGCTATTCACTAACACTGCGAGGTATATGATATGGTTTAAACAAAAAATGAAGTAAGACACAAACACAACCAACCCTCCAGCACCAAAACTCTACCAATCACTGCAAGGAAACATTTCGATGCAGCCAGTGCACTCATTTGATCATCACAATTTCCAGCAACGAAGTTGCAGCAATGATATGTATACAACTCCTATTCAAAGAAAAGCCAGTTTGTCTTTCCTTCTTCTGCTGACACACAGTAGTATTAACCTAGTTAGTTTACTAAAAACTGACTGAACTTTTCCTTTTTTCCTAAGTTTCCTAGAACCATTTGTCCTAAAACTCAAAAAGCATTGATGTTTTTCAGGGATTTTAAATATTGCTAGAAGGAAATAAGTCTTTTTAATTCTTAGTACTTTGAGGTTTGATTCAGCAAATTCATATTCTTATTTCAGCATCCATACAAGTAAAAGTTCTGAAGACCAGGGGAACTCCAAGCTTTTAAATGCCTATATTGATGTAGGACTTGACACTCTCATCACACTTAAAAATGCTTCCCCTCATACATGGTACCTCTGTTGTCCCTTACAAATCATGTCCATGTCAGTTAGTGGGGAAAACAAAACTCAACTCTCAAAGAGGAGAAAAAGTGTTTTATCTGCCTCAAAAATAATTAAAAAACTCCAAAACTACTATCCCATCACTATGGACAAAGTTACTTTGTACCACTCCCAAACAGACAAACAAAACCCCCAAGGTAGTAACACTTCCAATAATGGATCCAGTGGCAGCGTTTTCCCCAGAAGCAGAATAAAACGCAGTATAGATAAGTTACTTAGATAAGCTTTTGTTCATTGTAACAAAAATGAAACAAAATATTACCAGAATTGAAAAAAAGCCAAACCCATCTGTGGGCACCTACAGACAAAACTCCCACATTTACTTGAATGCATAAGCATCACTGACACAGTAAAAGTTTTGGTGTCAAGCGCTTCTCTAGTTTTTAGAGAAGGCTTGAAAAGATTATTTAATACCAACAGGATTATTGACGAGACTTACAAAAAAAAATGGAAACCATGAAAGAAAACATCATTTCCACTCTGAAGAATGGGTTAACACAAGTAACAAAGGATGATACTGCTCTTCTCTAAAAGATAAATGCAGAAATAGTAACACAAAATACTTTATAAAAGCTTGTAAGTACTTCGGAAGGAATTTGGAATGCTTCACTTTATTTTCTCATGAAATACTTTGAATGATCTAGAAAGCCTGTGGAAACGATCATTGAAAAGTTAGCGTTTCATTCCAACGCACTTTGTAACACTGGCAGCCTTGGTCATTCTGGGAAAGGAGCCACAAACAGTTCCTGGTATTCCAGTCCTGGACATGAACCAGGTCATTTACAATGTTCTCGGGGTGATTAGGAGCAGCTCCACAGGGCAAGCTGAGTATCTGAAAAGTACTCGTATGGATAAGACGCGATACTTAACAACACACTGTTGACAGTGGAGGAAATGGGTTCTGCTTACTGACCACAAGCTTTTGATGCTGATGAGATATATAGCCTTTAATGTGACCCTGGGAGAAGGAGAAAAAGACAGTGTCAGTATTGGAAGCTGGTAACACAATGCCCATAACCTCAGCTGCCTTCAGACAACACCAAGCAAAATTATGTGTGTATACTCAATCACCACTGCACTACTGAACGTAGTATCTATAACGATCCAATTTATGGAAGTGGGTCAACTCACAGAGTAAGCAGAAAGTCGGAACTAACCATGTTTGCATATTAACGGCGCGGCCAAACTGAGAGCCTGTTGCCAGGGCCCCCGACTGGTCTGCTCACATTTCCTTGAAGAGACAGGGCTCTACAGAAGTGTTTCTAAATTTACTCTTGCTCACTTTAGAATTCGGATTTTAATTAATCACTATTCCAAACCTGATAAACTAAATGACGCAGTACTTCCTGTCCAGGCATGTAGTGTTGTAACACTGAAAGAAATCTTCAGTCACCTAATCTCACCCGCTGTTACTCCAAGACCACACCATATAATGTTTTAGAAACAGAGAAATTATTAGTTTTCTTGCTGACACTGCAATGCTGCTGCAAAACCTCCAATTTATTAGAAATATCTATTTCAAGCCTTTATCTGTTCATGAGTACTTGAGATCCATTTTAAAGGACAAAATGTGAAACAAAACCAAAGAAATCTGGTTTTAATTTTTTCTTACGTTAGAATGTCAAGAAACTCCTAGTCCAAATGCAGAAGAACAAATCCCTTTCGGTCCCAGCTACTATTTTTGTATTTTAAAATCAGTATTTATGCATATATAGAAATGTCAGTATTTGATTTGTAATGTAAAATTCAACTTCAATTTCAACCAATTCCTGCAAAAGAGACAGGAACTAGAGGAACTCCTCAGAGCAAATGAAAACATTTCACTTTGGGCACAAGTCAATCAACTTTTTTACACAAGAAAACCTAGGATTACTGATAGGTGTTTTGTAGTAAACTTTTATTCTCTGCCTAGTATTTTTTTACTGTCTGAAGTCTGGAAGGACAAAACAACAAGTGGTCAGCACATACCATATATATAAGGTTAGCTAAAATGCACTGGACTTCATCAATATCAACATCATCTACTTGCATGAATTTCAGGGCAAACAGAAAGGCGTCTAAAGATAGCTGATGGGTTTTGAGTAGTAAATATCTGAAAGAAACAACAGAGGAAAAAAACCTGTTATTGACAAACAATCACTTAAAAATTCTGCTTCTTAGAAAAACAGCCCTTCTACAACAAATTCACTTTAACAGCAATTCAGTGCTCTGAGAGAACTAAGGAGCATATGCACTTCTGTATCAGTCCTAGGTGAAATCATATTAAATCTGCTTTTGCAAAAATGCAGTTTTTGTTATGCTTACACTTTCTTAAAGAGATTTCTGTACGTGATGATTTTCAGCTTCTCGAGGATAAGAAAGATTCCACATCGAATAAAGAAGGTCTCATGCTTTGTCAGAGCATCGTTCAGTAGGAGAAGATTGCCTTCACTACAAGGATGAAGAAATGAAAACACGACAAGATCTCACCCAAATGAGAAAATAAATTGTCTGACTTTGTAATAGCAATCCTCCCCGCCTTCCTCAATCATCCCAAATAAATACTTTTTACTTAATACTTTTTGAACTAACACGCAACGCAATAATCATCATACCTCACAGCCTTTGTTACTTCAGCAAACTGCATAAGGTCATATTTTTTTAAGAGCTGGATTGTTGGCATATGACCCTGAAAAACAAATGGTTTCCAAGTTTTCCAGGATAAAACCAAATGCATTTTAAATGTACTCCAGTAAGCTATAAAAACATTTGTTAGAGAAACAGACAAATGTTTAACCAATTATTTTTTCTTTGCTACAGAACAAGAGGAAAATGAAAGTATTCGTAAGACAACCCCCTTGCCCCTGCCAAACACCCTGTAGCTCAACTCACAATAGCTACCTATTTATCATGGTTTAGGGAGTCATAATATTTCTTAATGTTGGGGAACAGCTATCAAACTTGTAAAATCAAGATCCTGTGACATGAGGCCTAGGCAGATCCAAATTTTATGTCATGGCTGTAGGATCTAATCTGCAAATAGAAGAACCGCGGGAATCCCAAGCATTACTAATAATACAAGCAGTGCTTCAGCACTGTCAAGTGCCAGCTCAGTCTGAACCAGATTTTTTCTTCACTATGTCTCCGTGCAGAAATAAAAATTCTCAAAAATTCTCTCAAAAAACAAAACAGCAGAAAAAAAAAGAAGAGAGAAAGTTTAAATTTGAAGAAACAAAATTAATTCTATTTGCTAGATCAGGTAAAACCGAACTACCTATACTATCAAAAAGAATCTTTCATCTTTTTTTCCCTGCACAGCAGGGATCAGATTGCACATTGACTTGGGTCAGACTTTAAATTTAGTTACCATCATGTTATGCTGTTGGTAACTCCTTTCCTGGTTGGAGGATTAGCTGAGAGCAGAACTCAGCTGCATAGTTACTGAGAGCTGCTAGGAATAAAAAAAACCATCCAAGCTATTTTAGTACAGTTTAAGGTTAGTGTTAATGTTTGGGCTCTGATTAAAAAAAGCAACTGGAAAAACAATGACCTTTACCTAGTTTCTTTAGTGCCTCTTGTACACTAGAACTGCTCCAGAAAAGCCACAGTAACTCCAGGCACTAACAGACCCACCAGTTTAAGGCGCCGAGCCAAGACTGGTACAAAGTTTTTAGGAAGACTGTTAGTTTTCCTTTCTCAATCTTACCATTGATTGATCTGAAAACAACCAGTAAGAAAGTCAATAAATAAAAAATGAAAACCAGATGCCAATTACCATACTCATTATGCTCCCCCTTTACCCACATGACACTGCAAGGGACTGAAAAGCGAGCACTGAACAGGAAAGGGAGGATTGTCATTAACAGGCTGGGGCAAAGGTGGAAGATGGCAACTCACAGAAGCAGGTGATAACAGCATTCTCCAAGGGTAACTTTAGTAACAGGGCCAGGAACAGGAAACTCTAATATCTAGTTCTTGTCCTCTCAATTAGACCGAATTAATGGTTAGCATAATCCCACCAACTCAGGAATACACAAATGCCAGCAGAGTACATGGGAAAGGACAGGAACAAGAAGCAGAGGTGTGCTTAATTCTTTTAATAAAGATGAAATGATCAAGCAGTACCCAGTCTTGGGTACTGATTTGTTCACAACCAAAATGCTCTACTTCATGACCCTTCTGACACGCCTCAAATGGGCAAGCGTACAAGATGCAAATAGAAACCCCAAAGATAAGAATCCTTTCTCTCCTGTGGCAAACTCCCCTCAACAGTCTTCAGCCATCTGTTTGCACATCCTCCTTCCCTTCACCAGGTGAAAGAAGCAGATCTGTACCAGTGAATCAACATATCCCCTGGCCCATCTGTGCAGCTGCTCACCAGACAAGCACTCTGCTACAAGACATGATTTACACTGTTAAGTGCTTCTCAAAGTTGTCTTTACTACAGAAACAACCTCATGCTGAACCTTTAGGAGAGGTGAGAGGAATATAGGGGGAAAGGAGGGTGGGGTTTTTGTTTGGGTTTATTTTTTCCCCCCTTCTTTCTCCTTTCCTGTGTTGCTTCAAACAACAATTCAGTATTTTCTGTCCTCAAACAACAGAGTGTGCATATGCTGGCTCTTATGGGGGTCAGATAGCCTCTGAATTCCATTAAGGGAAAAACAAGAACCATAGTTGAGCATCAGTTTAGTTATCTGCCTCCAAAAAATTACTTAGAAGAGTAACATCTACTCACCAACAACATTTTTACTGGCAGTAGGTAGATCAAAATCATTCTTTTGTTCTTCTGGCTTGAGCGGTGACAGTGCTCAAAGGCAAATGACAGATACTCTTCAGCTGCAGACACAAATAAAAGTGCTGGTAACGTGAATCAACAACAAAAATGGATTAAAACTGTAACCCAAATTCTGTGCTCAATGTCCATCTCTAGCTTGAAAACATGATAATTGAAATTATATAAAAAAGAATCACACCAATCAAAATGCATTAAGAAAAATTCTGCAAAGATTATTGGAGATTCACACAAAATACAAAGTATTACCAGAAAAATAAGTTTTCCTTCAGAAAGTTAAAGAAAACCTGTCAAGGTCTAGACATTAGAGCTAACAGTTACAAGCAATATTGGAATTTTCAGCTCATTTCAGTAATATTATTGTGTTACTACTACAGGAGGGGAGAATCTCAAGAAACGATGATGAAGCTGAACTCTATTTTCTAAGTTGACAGATTAGGTTCTTCAGAGGATGTAAGGTGCATGCCACACACACATCTGGTGAGCTGCAGAAGCACACCAGTGAGATCACACAGCACAACAACAGGAAAATCTCTCATCACTTTTCACTGAGAGAGAAAAATGACAAGCCTGACAGGCAGAAGACACCCTTTAGAGAAACAAAGCCAGCTCCAGAGTACATTTTTGTCAGGGGCTTAGGTCAGCGATGAAAGTTGTACACCTTAGCTCTAGAAGCATTTCTATTAGTGAGTAAGAAATCTCAGCGATGCGGTATCTACATCTTCCAAAATCAATGCACCGAGAAACTAATTCTACAGTACAGTCTGCTGAAGATTTCCTACATGGCATACAGCAACTTCAAGAGAACAAGAGTCACAAAGCCTCCTTTGTGAAACCTTTTACAATCCTGTTCTATTGGATGCTCAGACATTTTTTTATGCATGTACACAATGCATAAAACTAGAGAGAACTTCTCTGGCACAAATATTTTAACACCGGGCATAAACTACAATTGGAAGTGTCATGTGATCTCATCTCTGAGATTAATCACTCAGCCTGTGAGCCTTGGATTTTTCAGCATGGTTTTTCCTTTCATCAATGCAAACACAACTGCACCTTCTACACATTTTGAGTCACACATGCACAACATCAGTCAGATTTCACACTTTCACACTACGCAGCAAGACTTCAAATCTGTCTTACTGGCACACAGTACCTTGCTTAAAGTCACTGTCAAACATGGCTTTGCGTCCAACATAGTATCTGTATGTAACTCGCTGTGCCATACTATATTCATCCTTCAGATTTGAGCTGTCAATTGCTCTAATTAAGGGCTTACATAGATGGAGCTTGTTGATCTGTTTAAAAAAAACAAAAAAAAACAAAAAAAAAATCAATTGCATTTTACTCAGAGAGTAGATACATAGTATCATATAAAAAACTGTGAGTTTGACTTAGAATATGAAATACGAAACACAGCTTACCAGACTTGAACCCTACCTTAAAATAAATTTTAAACAGCTGATTCACAAGAAACAACATGCCCCACTTTTTGGAATCTTCAATGCCTGCTCGACTGTCATAAGAAAAGAAAAAAAGGAAAAAAGAACTACTAGTACTGAACATTGTAAGAAAATAATGGCTTTGTCCTTATGGTAAATTCCCTCCATAGACATTTTATGGATTTTTAGTGTATAAATAGGTGTCTGAAACTAAAAGTCAAGGCCAAACTCCTTGTCCTAAACCATGCAGCACTATCAAAACAGAACACGTGCTCCCATCTTAAATTTTAAGCAGCTCTGCTACATTTCTTCCCAACATAACGACAAGATGTGATGTAACATATTATTCATCTGCATCATGGTCCTCACTCCAGTCTTTGCAAGTGTTAAAATTGTTAAGACTGGAAACCAAAAAGTTGCCTCTTTTCCATCTAATCATAATGAAGTAAACTTCACAACCAAACAGGGCACAAAAGCATTAATGATCTTTCCTGAGAAATAGGGACATAATCAGTCCCTCCTAACAACATCTGCTAGGAATGTTAAACATGAAGGGAAGCCTCTCTAGCTGCAGTTAACAGTCAAAAGAGAACAGGCTATAAATGAGAGGAAAGGAGCCTCAAAGTGTTCATTCTTACCCAGATATGGTCTTAGTAAGCGGGAAAATATTATGTAAAGTTCATTTAGTTCTTAACAATTTAATAGTGCAAGTTCTTTTGAGGATCTTTCACTTACGTGTCACTGGCACAGACTCGAAAACAGCTCATCAGCAGTTCTGCTGCTTTTTCCAACATGTCGCCAGCTTTGCTTTTCCCTTTCTTCACTAGTTGTTGATCTGCCTTTCATTACACAGCAAGAAATGATATGTAATTCTACATCCTGGTTCACTGGGTTGTGAACAGTTTAGTTCCTTAATACAGCATTTTATAAAGTATTCTAGCAATAGATTTGCCATGCCTGCTATCTCCTAAATCTAGAAGGTAGTCAAGCTCACAGAATAAAAGAAAACACACAGAGAGCCTCCCAAACACGTAACAAACCCAATGCACAGGAGGACAGTCCTTTGAAAACAGCACAAACTGCTATTACCTTTAGCGCCACTAAGCTTAACGCAGCTCTCGGAAACCTAAATTCAGGATTATCTGATAGCTGAACTGGAGCACCAACACTGGAACTCAACTTTTCAAAGACCAAGAGTCTGGCAAAAAAATGTCATTTGAACAAAAGCAGACTAAAATTATTCCCCAGTTAAGGAGTTTGAGTTCTAGAATTTCTAATTATGATTCTCTCCACAGCCACGACGGCTAGGTTTTATTTCTAAACCATACTCAATTTTTTGCTAGGTTCTTTCTTTGCTATGACCTGGGATTTTCGGAAGAAATGGAAACCATGTTACAGCAGCAAGAGGTAAAAAATGAGTTGCCAATACATAGGAAAGATCCATGCACTGATTAATACAGAACTTAACAAAGAAGAGTAGGGGGAAAAATAGCAAGTAGATATTTACTATGTGCTTTCTAAAAAGCTTTATTATAACACTTTCATTCTCACTAACTGAAACATAAGGAAAAGAAATGGAAATATATCCTTTGCTGCAGAAGTGTTCTCTGTATCTGCACCCTTTGAATATACTAAGGCCACAAGACAGAGTTCAAGTACTTACAGTATGACTGATCCTACTTTCCCCTTTTTCATGCATCTCAAATATAAGAATTTGCCTCACTCAGACTGAGAATCAAGACTTGTCAGAGAGCAGGCACACACATACACAAAATACACTCTGTGCGAGCAAGCCAAATGTGTTGCTTTGTGGGTGGGCACAAGAAAGTGCCGAGGGACAAACACTGAAAATGCTGGATATTGTCCAACTCTAACCTAACTTGAATTCCAGCTTCACGTCTTCAGGTAAAGTGACTAGGAACAAGATTAAGACCCTGCCACTTACCTTGTCCTAGCAGTTCTCATTAGATCCCTACACAAGCTACTTCAATTCACCAGCCTCAGAAAAATAATGTAAATTCAGGTTTTTTTTCTCCTCAGCAGCTGTATGGGCTCAGCAAGGGCTACAACAAGCACCAAAAGCAGTACGCACAGCTGGAAGAAGGGAAAGGAGGCAGAAACTTCCCTCTTCAGATGTGGTGAGTAGTTAGACTAGCCCAGACAACGGACCTGTCTCCATCCTTCCACCAAAACCCAAGGATAATACATGGTAATAATGAGTTGTGCCACCATGCTGCTCTATAAAGACAGTACTTAATCACTTCATATGCTCTAAGCAACTGCTGTGAGTTCCATACTGGTCCTCAGGACCTCTCTAGTTCAAGATGCAAACAGGAGGTGGGCAGACTGAGCAACCTGGTTTTTCAATAGGACCGGATGAATCTAGTGTGTCAACAAAATCCTAAACAATGAGTTAAACAGTACTGAGCAAAATTAGGCTACGTAATAAAGCCTTAAATATTTCCACCATGGAAAATTCTTACAGATAAAAGTAATGAGACTGTTAATCAGATCTACTTACGTTATTAGCAAAAATGCGAAGATCGAGGGCTACAGCATACATAATAGGTAAAGCCCTGGAAAAATAAAACATAGTATGCTTAGTATGGCAAATCGTGCAACAAGACAGATATGAGAAACAGGCTTTTTTTTTTCTTTTTTTTGCTAGTTGGTCATAAAACTAGAAAAGTATACATTAATCCTTAAATAAAGAACGATGCACTTTTTAAAAGGAAAAGTCTTCAAGATCTCAGCATTTCAGAAATCCTACACTGGAAAAAGAATTAATTCAGAAACCTTTTTTACTGTGGCTTTAATAAAACACCATGTCAGCTTGAACAAATTCTTCATGTATTTACTTACGTAACATTCTTTGTAATTAAGCTTAGATGTTTAGTTTTCCCACCTTTGGATCTAAAAACTCAAAACAGGCAGCAGAAACAGGCTGCATTTAAGCATCACTGGGGATAAATAAAAACTAAAGTCATCATTTTAGTTTGACTATTATGGTTATCATGCTAGTGAAAGATGAGAGTCTAGTTCCTAGCAGCTCTCTACGATGTACTCACCAGTTTTCCTCTTTATGTGCCTGAAACGCTCGCAAGAAAGATGTATTGTATTTAGGAGAATTTAAAATACTATTAAATGAAGCACAGATACAAAAACCAGCAGCCGTATGGTACCACACACTACTACAAGAAAGGGCAGAAATCAACGGAGCAGCAAATAAATGAGAAGTGAGGGTGCAAAGATGCAGTAGGGAAGAATGCAAGCGCAGGCACACGCTCCCTGGGGCAGCAGTAGCCATGAGAACATTGGTACATTGGTCGCTTAGAGATAACAGCTTTCTTTATCAGCATCCTTCCCTCCAGCAAAGTACAAACTGGGACGTATATTAATGATTTGAGGGTTTCTCATACTCTGTGAGAAATTAATTTTCTGTTTTAGAGCCAAATGACAGATTCCTTCTTTGTTCTACAGAAAGTTGAAAGAAGAGTGTATCTGGACTTCCCAAATAGCTGAAGTGTGTTTGGAAGCAGACCACACTCTATTACATTTTAAAAGAGGTGAAGATAACTTACTCTACAATAAGACATATAGTTAATTTGAAAACAATATACAAGATTTATGGAAAAGGATATTGAACAATAACTGTTTGGCATTTGTATGCTTCTATAAAGTCATGGTTTCCGACAGCGTAAGTACACCTGTCAAAAGAAAAAGTGCATTAGTGAATCAGAAAATACCATATACACAAGACAAATATTTCTTTTTGCCTTTGAACAGGCACAGAGCTTTACAGTTTATTTAAAAGAGACACAGAAATATGATCAGAAATGTTCCTAACAAAATGGCACAAGTACTTTAACACAGCACTAAGCCTGATAATTGTAGAAAACTGATCCAAGAGAACGAGGATTTGTTTGTATAATGTGTACAATATCAACTGTAATATGCTAATGATTATTTAAACTGTCACCAAGATTAGCATAGATAAAAAAAATTCCAAGACTGTTGAAAGTGAACTAAAGACACGTGTTAATGCAAAAATTTTTTTAAATAAAAGCCTGTGAGAATTTTAAATAAAAATTCAGTGAGAATTACTTAGGTCCTAAAGCTGTCTTAAGAGTACTTTTATGACTAAAATTCCCTTTTAAAAATATTTATTTCCCATACTTCTTTCACTGTAAATTCTTGTGTAGCTAGCATACGCAGAGCAAAGGAAACAGCAAGCACCGAAACCAAAGCTGCGTCAATGGCGATAACGCAGACGACCGCCAGGTACACAAGGCAAACTTTATATGGAGAGGAAAGAAGAAGTCTATTTCCTGCAGTTCTAGCATTATTTATAAGAGTAATAAATACCAAGTTTTCAGATGTAAGCCCTTTAAAATAACTAAGGAAACTTAAGGATATCCTTCCCTATCCCTGCTGGATGCCTCACAACTGACTTTACATTCCTGGTCCATCTTTACCTTACCTTAAGTGGGCTGCAAACATTTCATCATATGGTGGTTCCAAAACTTGCTGACACTTCTCCTCTGGAGATGGAAGCTAAGTATAGAATAAATCAATGAAACATTAAAGGAACATCCAACGCACCAGAAACAGAACATCATACGGATATTTTGTCATGGCAGTTTTATGCACACACTCCTTTGCTATCTACCAAAACTTTTAAGTTGTATTAATAATCACATCCAGTGTAATGAATTGCTAGTGAGCATTCTGTCTCCAGAACCTGACTACAGCTAGCCTTAAATAAAAGCATTTGGAATGCATGTAACACAAACACTGGACCCTTGGTATCCATTGTTTTTCTCTTTATAGTCACTTCTACTGTGCCATGTTACTAACTACTGCAGACCTGGCCAGAAGGAACTTTTGAGACTGTATCCATCCATAAAACAATTCAAGGTGGAACACAAAAAGCCATCCAGGAAAAAAATGAAAATATATAATACCCTTGTAAGAAGGAAAACAAATCTACAAGGGGATCCTGCTCTGGATCTGTGAAACAGATTTCTGAGGTTTATCTCCAATGGGAAGGAACTCACATAGAGAGCTAGGAAAACTGGAAGCAAAACAAAAGAAAGGTCAAAACAAATTCTCACCTGTAGCCTTGGGTTTGCAACATGTGGATGTTTAAATGATACCAATTCTGCACAAAACTGTCCATCTCTGCTGTCAATGGCTTCTTGTACCTACCCAAAAAAAAGAGCCACACTACAGAATACAATCCAGTGGCAGTCATACAACATATTTACATGTGACTACACAAGTCACCTTCTTGTTACCACTGTTCATCCATATCAATACCAACCAAACATGAGTTTTTAAATGTCTAAAACAGAATGAATCAGTATTGTACCTTCAATACACCTGTTTTTCAAAAAGGTGTCAGGAAGAAGGTGAGGCAACCACTACTGCGTTTTTTCCCTTATTTGTAGGATACGAGCAAACCAGAGACTTTCCAAACAGCTAACATGGGCTTAGCATTGTAGAACAGTTGTGAACCAGATTTGGTTAAGCTTTTTAAAATTCCAGTTGGACTTACGTGCATCAAACACATATGCGAAGGCATAAACAATCTTTGAGTATTATTGTTTGTACTGCTGCAGATGGAATTAGCATGTCAGGAATCGGGACTCGCAAATACATTTCACATGAATTTAACATTTAATAGCAAAACTATTTCCAAAACACAAAATTGGCTCTCCTTTATTTGGAGAAAAAACAAAACAAAACAAAACACAACATCAATCCCTGAAAGATACTAAGTAGGTGATTTTCTCTCTTTTGCTGCTACCCTTGCTATTTTAGTCTATGGTTTTTCCCATTTCGTATGGGCTTTCCGCGTTTATTTTTTTCCTATTAGGACACAAAAATATGATGAATAAAACACAAGAAGTGGGAAAAGAACTCTTAAGAAGTTATATCTAAAACTACTTCCACAACTGCAGACGTTTCCAGCTTGAAGTCACCATAAGCTGCTCAGGCAGACTATTTTTTACAAGGAGTCACCTTTAGGAGGAAGCAGAATTAAGCCATTCTCCCACAGAATGTAATGTTTATAGTCTTGACAAGTTTCAAAAGTATTCTATACAGATGCTAGTCTAATATCAGACATTGCCTTTGGATCGATAGGTACGTGTTTAATCTACTACCTGTCTTCATTTTCAAGCGTTATGCAGCCTGCTGTCTCTCACTTCCTTACTCATTGCTTTGGATTTCCATCCTCAGCTACTGGATTTCCATCAGTAGAGTGTCTGAGTTTGACAAAGTGCAAAATGTTTTTTTCATGGGAGGTGACCTATTGGTGACAGAAGTGCATAAACTCAAGAAAATGTGAATAGTTTAAACGCACAGACACAGTGTGTATGATATGGAGGGTGGAGACAGAGGATCGCAGGACTGTCAACTGGAGAAGACGCTGACTTTTCACAGCAGATCACTGTCCTGAGATATTTCAGCCACTCTATTTTTGAGACTAAAACCAAACAATTACTCTATTTTTGTGTCTTTCACTCAACTGACTTGACTGATCTTGACTGAAGCAAATAAGACGGTAACAATGATGAAAATATGATAGTTCAGAAAGAAGCCGTAACAGTGGTCACACTAAAAGCTTGACACTGAAAGTTCAGTCCAGCCAGCATCCTTGTGACCCTGCTCCTGCCTCTCCATCCTCCATGCCACATACACTGTGTCTCTGCACTTCTACTCTTCTTAAATCCCTATACTGAATCCCTGAGCTGCATTTGTTACTGCATGCACACACAATCCCAACACATTAGTCCCCATGGATAAGTTACTTCACCATCCATTACATCAGTAAACGTCACACTTTTCAGAAATTCCAGGTATATATCCTTGGCGTACAGCAGGTATACTTAATGCAGACTTAAGAATTATATTTCTTTACCACATCACACATTCTGGGTTTACTTCTTAGACAAGGTAACATATTTATAGCAGAGGAAAATACATCCACGTACTCTAACAGTGCCCACAAATGAAAAAACTTACTTGCTGCAAATACTGGTTTATGGTGATGTGCGCCATTAAAATGTAAGCAGAAGAGGCCGGTGTCCCAAACGAAACGCAGCTGCATCACATTCTGCAAAGCGGACAGGCGTTTCAGCAGAACAGCAAAGCCGCAGTACCTCACACTGACCCCTCCTCCACGCTGAGGAAACACGGGATGGGCTTATCGAACCCCTCG